TACTGCTAGTGCTTGAAAAAAGCCTAATCTAGTTATCTCCAGGTTCTGATGTAGGTACGTTCAAGTTGCATATACCATTTGAGGGATGCCCCACTAAGGCTATCCTAAAATAAATGCATCAATAATTTTTCATCATTTGAATAGGAATCCATTTTTCTACAGTATGATTTGATGTGAGTCCTTGGACAACTAATTCCCTTGTACTTCTCAAAGTCAAGGACTTTGAATTTGGAAGGGCTTTTGATGCCTAGAACTAGGCACATATCATCAGGATCTAGACCGAAAGTGTTGGGACCTTCCATAACTTTCATCCTTTCCTCTAAGACACATAGCTTTTTCTCAGCTTCAGTAATTGGGAGCCTGAAGGCTTCGTATGTGGGATCAACTTTTGGGATGAAGAAGGCATCATGATGACCGTTCACTTCAAGCTAAAGTCCTATTCCATTGACAGGAATTTCGAACGTGGTCCTGATCTTCTGATTCATAGAATCTCCTTCTAGAGGTAGATTGATACTAATTGGTGAATTCATCGATGGATGTACAAGAGGATTAATAGAAGCGGGCCTTAGGAAGGCCTGTCTGAGTTCTTCTTGACCTCTGGCTATAGCCTGGATAGTCTACATGAGCTGACCCATTTGAGTCCTCATGGTGATCATGTTCCCCTTATCAAACCTTGATTATGTTCGAGTTGATCCATTAGCATTCTCTGGTTGTTGCGAGTACCATAGCGATGTCGAGAAGTTAACTTTGCGATCAATGATTTTGAGCAAAAGGCCAAATGATAATGATTTTTTTGTAAAATGGAATGCATTAGGATGCATGAATGAATGCAAAAAATATTTTTTTAATGTTTTCAAGGAATCCTAAGATTTCGTCAAATGCTATGAGTAATCGTAAAGTATGAAAATAAAGATAAAAGATAAGACCAAAAGTAGCACAAGCTAAAATAATTATTTTATTCAATTTAAGAAAGCTATTACGAATAATGGATTATAATCAATTTTCCATTCTGCCTTGCTTAAGTTCTTCTCTAAAGCCGGTCAAGATGAGCTTACAAAAGGCAACAAAATTGTAAACTTCCATAGGGGTATTTTGGGAAATTATTACTACAAAGGCCATCTTCAATTTCTCAGGGATATTTTCAATTACTCGGTTTGCAAACTCTACTAGATGAAAGTGTTTTTCTTTCCATTCATGAGAATTTTAGAGAAGATTCTAAATAAGCTTATGATTTCTACCTTGGACAAGGTCTTGCAAGAGCATTTCTCTTTGGTCTATGAGATTTCTTCTCTTTGTCAATTGTAAGCAAGCCTATATTGATGGTATTGATCCCCGAGCTTGTGGATATCTTTGAAGAAGCTTGAACAACTAGGCAGGATTTAGAATTCGTCCTTCATGCATTGTTCGCTCTTTAGATAGTCTTGGTCGTCTTTAAGTTCAACTTGGAATGTCTTCATGCATTCGTCTCCTAAAGTTCTTCTGAGTAGATTTTGGTACAGTGATATGTTTTCTCTCTCCTCTCGATGTGAGAATCCCACCTATGATTTCACTTCTTATATTCCACCATTTTCTTATTACTTTTTGTCATTCCATTGTTGTCGTATTTGATATTTTCCTAGTTCACTTGCACTTTTCCTTAATCTTTTTCAAAATCTCATACAAAAACATTTAAAATCATATATAAAATAAGTGGTCAATTTATGAATTGTTGACTATTATTTATGTCCAAGATGAAAAGATGAAGAAAAACATGAAGATGAATTAATAACTTTCAAAAGTCGTACAATGCCTTTTCTCAACATTCAAGTCATTTTTAACATAAAAACAAATGAATTAATAACTTAAAAAGCACTATGCGATTTCAATTTATTTGATTTTAGGTAGGGTCTAAAATGAAATACCACATAACTCAAGCTTCAGAATGTATATGTACCACGGAGGTAAAAATTGAAGCAATCCGATACCAAATGATTTAAACATGTTTGACATCACAAACACCACATTTAAATTAGTATATATAGAAAGTAAAAAGATTTTTTTTAATAAGCAATGGAATTAATAACTAAATGAGGAGTCCTAGGGGTACTATAAATCTTTACAACGAGAATTAAAGACGAAACAATTATAAAATGCACAATAAGGGAGAAATCAACCAAACAGAAAAACGACCGCCAAATTCAGATACACCTCCATGAGTTTTGGCAATGTTATTGATCAATTCCATAATGAGTACTGTTTTACCTACCCCAGCTCCACCGAAAAGTCCTATTTTTCCGCCACGGCGATAAGGAGCTAAAAGATCGACTACTTTAATTTCTGTTTCAAAAATGGATAATTGTGTATCTAACTGTATAAAGGCAGACGCAGATCTATGAATAAGAGATGTTGTGCGAGTATCTACAGGACTCAAATTATCTATGGGTTCTCCAATCACGTTGAAAATTCAAACCATTCACACACACCTCCACACTAGGAATGGAACCCTTAAAAATCACTGCATTACGCAATCTTCAAATGTTCCACGACGCCACCTGCCAAATGATACATAACAACCTGCCTACCTTCTTGCCCTTCACTTTGCCCATGTTGAAAACAAGAAAAGCAAATTCCTCCACTGACAGTCCTACATCAATACCTAGCCAGCAGATCAATTCTAACCAGATCTTTTTGCTGAAATCGTAGCAGTTGAAAACATGGAAAAGAGATTCCTCAACCTCAAAATAGAACACACACATCTTGTCTCTGTCTTCAAAGATGATATTTCTGATGAACAAAAGCTGCCTAGTAGGAAGCTTGTTAAAAACCCACCTCCACCTAAATAGCAACGCATTTGAAGGTGCCTGGACTTTCCATACAACGTTCGCAGCTTTACATAAATCAGAACGCGGAGTTGTGCCTACTGTACAAGAAATCAATACAGAGTAACAAGACTTGACATTAAAAATTGTGAAATTGTTAGCAAATCAAACAATACCATCCGTTTCATCCTGCACAAATTCCTGTATTTCTACTACAGCCTTCAAACACTCCACAAGCCAAGCCTCGTTCTCAGTCCAAGAATCTCCAACCCTATACCAATTCCACAACCACACACCTTCAATCCACTCCCCGACCTCTGCTATACTGTAATTCGGAACTGCTACCAAAGCGAAAAGCTCCGGGAATGCATCCTTCAGTGGTTGATTGCCAACCCAAGTACTGTACCAAAATGAGGTGTTCTTGCCATTGTTAACCTTGCATAGAATATTTTTTGTAAAATAATTGCTTGCCCCCAACGTCACCGTATCCATCAATAACAAATCTAGCCACCAAATTGAGTCGCCTCTGTGGGTCGTAGACTGAACAACTACAAACATCTTTACTGTTGGCATTTTGTACCTATAATTGAGCAAAAAACTCCAAATAGCACTACAATCATTAACAACTATCCACTTCCATTTCATTAAAAGAGATTTATTAAACACCTCCAAATCAATTATACCAAGATCTCCACAATTCTTGGGTTTGCAAACACGATTCCAACTAACCCAATGGATTGTTTTCTTCTTCACATCAGTTCTTTTCCACGGAAAATTACTCAACATATGACGAATCTCTTTCAAAACCTTGTCATTATAACTCTACCACCCAAAGAAAGAAGTCTTCCCTTCCAAGAAGTAAGCCTATTCCTATTGTGACTCAGCAAATCCTTCCACATCAGAAGTTTCCTCGGACTATTTCCTATCCAAATGCCTAAAAATCTGAACGGGAAACTTTCAACCTTGCAGGAGAGAAAATATGATGCAACCTCCAAACACCATCTGCTCACGTTAACCCTATAAATGTTGCTTTTGAAAAATTCACCCTTAAACTTGAAATCAACTCAAAGCCTCTTAAGATGGCCTAAATGCTTCAAAGATTGCCGCAACCGCCATCCCCTATTAAGATTGTGTCATCTGCGAATTGCAAAATGTCAACAGAGAAATCTTCATTGATCTTGAAACCTTTATACTCTCCTTGAGACACTTCAACATCCATCAATAATGACAAAACTTCCATGGCCAACACGAAGAGGAAAGGGGAAAGTGGATCACCTTGATGAAGCCCTCTCTCCACCTCCATCACGCTTCCGTTAACCAAAACCGACTAGAGCTATTAAACACACACGCCTCCATCCAAGTGATCCACGTGGCCCCAAAATCCATCTTGCCAAAAATAAATTTCAAAAAATTCCAATTAACTGTATCATAAGCTTTCTCGTAATCGACCTTCAAAATGAAACAACTTCTCTTCTTCTTTTTTTTTCCAAATCCAACACTTCATTAACCATCAAAACTCCGTTCAACATAATACCCGGGATGAATGCAATTTTTTTTAGAGAAACAAGCTTTCCAACAACAAATTTTAGCCGATAAGTCCTGCTGGAACTAACCAAACAAAGTCCCTAAAGTAAAAAGATTATGAAACACTAACCCTTGGTCTTGTAATTACAATTTCAGATTTCTATTTCACACCACATAAATATTTGGCTTTCTAAAACATTAAATTAAACTTAAACTCATGATTTTTTTAAGAGAGAAGATTCACATATTTAAAGAAGTGCTCAGATAATGGAATAAAGTTGAACACGGACTATTTCTTAAAACTGTTTTTCCTATAAAATATAACTTAAAGTTATTTTAATTTTGAATTAATTTAACCCATTAATAAACTACAATCCGGCCAAATTCCTTTTACCAACAACTAATTTTCCTAAATTTATTCTCCATAAAATAACGTTACCCTTAATAAACGCAAAATGAGGATCTTATTGTTAGGAAATTCAAATGATTACTCTCATATACCTCAAAGGTCAAAATTTTTGGCTTCAAACCTTAGACCCCTCCACATTGCTAAAAACCCTTTCTCCCATTAAACAAACATTTCACAAAAAAACTCCCACAACCCTCCATTCCTTACCTTAATTCCTTGTCAAAAACCACACCATAGTCCTTTCAAATTCCATTCTAGCTACAACGTTAATGTCTTTCAACATCAACAAGAAAAAATTCTTGAGAACACTCTTTTCATCTAACAAAAGTTGTGGTTGCCTCAAAATAAAACCCTCTAATGTCCTTGAACCCTCCCTAAGACCTAAAATCTCCATTTACCAAAACCAAAATAAAAACCCTAGCAGCTGCACTTCCTCCGCCACCACCGACGATGACGATGATAAAGTTTTGGCTTCCAGTCCCGTTTGTGAAGCCAAAACTATTCGTCACAACAACAATACTATTTTAAAATCAGGTGCAAAGCTCGTCGATAGCATTGCCGTCGAGAAGGAATCCGAGGATCCATACGAAGATTTTCGAAACTCAATACTTCAAATGATATTGGAAAGAAAGATCTACACGGAAAGAGAACTCGAAGAGCTTCTTGAATGTTTTCTTCAGCTTAATGCAAAGTGTCACCATCAAGTTATTGTTGAAGCGTTCATGGAGATATGTGAAGAAATATTCCCTAAGAAGCTTCAAGGTGAAGGTGAAGAGTCTCAAAGTAATGATAATCAAATCGTTGGAAAGAGTTAGGTGAGTGAATGTTGATAATTTTAGGTTGGACATTGAAGAGCATACACGTCTGAAGGGCATGTGAAGGCATTGAAGTCACACGTGGGAATATGAATGTTGCATGAGAAATTTGCGGTTTCAAATTGATGTTGTTATTTAGTTAGTTATTCTCATCTATTATTGTGGGGTAAAGGGTTGGAAGGAGCTGAAGCACTGTTTAGAATTTATTGAGGAGATGTATATTTTCTTTTAGATATCGATGAATTTTACTGTAAAATTATAATTCATTAGTTATGAATATTTATCACATCATAATTTGCTCTTCTAATGTCTTATGATATTTTGGGATCAGAGTTTGTTGGATATTGCCATGCTAGTTTCAGTTCCTTTTGTGATTTCACTAAGTCAATGTTTGAATTTACTTTTGAGAGAGAAAATAGTGGCGGCTGAGACTTTGTGTGAGGAGAATATAAGGGAGGAGGTGGGAAGTAGGTTCAATCAATTTTAAAACCATATAGTGTATACATTTTAAAATTAAAAATAAATAAAATATCAGGCGATTACAATAAATAGTTAAATTTAGTGATAGTCGTAATTCCCCCAAAGTTCCGCAAGTAACACATTACAAATTCCTATGTTCTTTGAGTAGCCACATAACCACTCACCATTGCAATTTATAACTACTCCACCACAGCTAACATTGCAATTAGATGTAACTACTATGCATACTCTGGTAGTAGCTTAAAACTTTTTCTCTAATTGTTCAAACTGTTTCAAGTACCTGATGTCAGCGTTTTGTGAGAGAATCTTGGCAAGAACATTCTCTTGATGAAATCTGAGTGAAATGAGAGAAGAATGAATGAAGAATGAAAAAAATAAAGAAGAGGTATTTATAGCCACGTCATCTCCGTCCAGGTTAATGTTGCAAGCCGGAGGAAATAGTACATTTGGACAGACGTACAAGGATTTAATGGTGGGTACTGGGTACTCTCACCGGTGATGCTTCCGCCGCTTTTGCACTGCCGCCTAACGCTGCTCTTAACCCTCAAGCCATGGCTTCTCTTAAACAAGCACATGTTGATTCCTTTTCACAGGTTGTAATAAATGATAATTTTTCTTTGATTTGTTTATTATAGGCTCTTGCTGGAGGTCCTTTGATTCAGGCTCGGCACTTTGCTGTTATGACTGGAGTGAATGCTGGTATCTATATATTAGAGATAGATGTAGATAGGTTAGTTTGTGTGCATGCATAGGTTAGTTGTGTGCATGCATAAGTTAGTTAGAGTAAGTATGAAGATAGTTAAGAATGTAACTAACTTCATCGCCTAACTACATTGTATAGATACTCATAAGATAAGGCTTATTTAATAACATGAATTGATCACAAAAGTATCAAGCTAAACCTGAATTACTTTATGCATGTCCATCATCTTTCTCATGCATAATCATGTTCACCAATGAAGTATGAACTCTCTCATCTAACATGGTATCATAAGCCTAAGGGGATCGTGTTTTTCCGCTGCACCATCATCATCATCATCACCACTATCGTCTTCATTTCGACGTTAGGTGCAAGTTGCTTCAAAGAAGCATCGGTTTTTTTTTGTTCAGAAGTTTGCAGAGCAGAGAAACCGTTTTATAATTCCGATGGACAACGTGTGGCATAAACCGTTAAACAAAGAAGCTTTAGATAGTCAAAGTCATCTGTTACATGGTGTGATTCATTGCAATGGTTATGGCCATTTAGTATGTCTTAATGGCATTGAAGGTGGTTCCAAATTTCTCAGTGGGAGAGAGATCGTGGATTTATGGGACAAAATCGTGGATTTATGAGGACTTCATCATCCGTGACAGAAGTTCACACATAAAAGAGTATACAGAACCTTAAAGTTAAAGCGGGCAAGGGTCTGCAAAGCAAGCTGTATAAGAGCAGAACCATTAAGCTCTGAAACTTGCTGACTGATATTTATAATTGTTCCTTACCGATGCTTTGCACAGGCCTCCCTAGATAAGGAGATTTAGAAAGAACCATAGATACACTGTCCAGTAGCCGGTCTTGAATGGTTGGCATCAGAGATGGAATGCTGAATAACAAAGATAGAAACTACTTATAAACTATTTATTGAATAGCTGAAATTTCTGTTCAAAGTTGGACTCATACCTCATACTTATTTGCTCAAGAGTTTCCACAAGAACAGTCGAAAGACCAGATGAAAACATAACATCCAAAAGGCCGCGAATATGAGGTTCAGTAGTAGACCCCATTGCTTTTGCTATATTTCCCACACATGCCAAGGCCTCAAGTGAAGGTTTATTCCTACGGGGAGCAATCTGCATTTATAAAATACCTACTGTCAAAAGATGGCATTGTCATGTGTTATAGAACATAAAAATAACCAACCTTTAAACAGGAAATGAAACACGCAGCAAGAAAAAAATACGGCTCAAGACTGGCATCAATAGTGTAACATACTGCCTCGCGTAAATAAGTACATATGGTCAGCAAATAATGGCTAAGTTCCCCATCCAGTGCTAAAGCCATCTCTCCGAGAGCAATAAACCCACTATCACGATCTTGAGGAACTTTCAAGACGGAAAGAATATGATTCATGCATATCTGCACAAAATTTCATTTCAATAGGCACTCAAGTAAAATTTTGAAATATCACAAAATCCATCATTCTCCTCCCAGTATAAAAATCAATTAATAGGGAAAATTAGCATACAGTTAAATAGTTGATAACAAAACGATCATGTAGAAAATGTGCAATCCAAGGTAGCAACGAAGTTATGCTCAAGCGAACAAGTCGATCCCGGTGCTCTAGATATCTAAGAACAATTTCGGCAACTTCTCGGTATCTTGACATCATGAACTCTCCAGTATTCCTTCACAGCCATAATTAGTACCAGACAAGTTAATTCCAAAAATATTGAGAAAATTTATAATATTAGAATCAAAGACATATTTTATGATACTACATTAAGTAAATAAAAAAAGATAAACTGATTTCCATAAACAAAATTGTCCTTGTAGAAATTTATAGATAACAGAAGCCCAATAGACACAAACTCAATATTTAATTTCAATTGTACATGCACGTTGACAAAATAATGCCTAACCATTAGGCGTGTCAAGAGCATGTTACACTTTGTCTATAAGTAGGGATCTTGTAAACTAGCTTAGAGTAGATTTGACTAGCTTATTTCACCTATCTTGTAAGGTTTTTTCACTAGCTTTTAACTTTCTGTATACATTGTTTCAAGTAATATTTGAGCTAATAGTTTCTTTTCTAAATTTTACCAGAACTATTTTAATTAACTCCTTTGTCTACCCTCACCCCGCAAAAAAATATTGAATGAGAGGAAATATGCCACTTACACAATTCATTTCACTTGATAAATATTAAAGGAACTCATACAATGTAATTCCTATTGCAACTACTGTGCACTAGCTGTAGTATACTTGCATTATCTAATTGTTTCTGACTGATTCCTAGCTGTGTGAGTCTATAAACATATTGTAATTCAATTGAGAATTATCTCTATCAATTAGTAATAATATAGAATTCTAACATGGTATCAATAGAAGCACTCCATCAGAATTTTGTTTAATCCTAAACACCCATTTGCAGCCAATAGCATGTCTGTTAGGAGGCAAGGAAGTGAGAGCCCATGTTTGATTCTTCCCTAGGGCTTGATACTCATTATTCATAGCTGCTAACCACTTAGGATCTTTGAGTGCTACCTTGTAGAAGGTTGGTTCCAGTTCAGTAAAAAGCAGAGTACGATTAGGGGTGCGCAAAAAAACCGGGTTATTGTTAATCAAATTTGTATCTAAATTATTCCATTTTTAAAAATTCAAATCAAATACTAAAATATAAATTTGGTTATCCATTTTATTATCCAAATATAAACCGGTTTCCATGTGGTTCAGTTATTGGTTATTCAAATTTCATTATTTGTTAAATTAATATGTTTTTGTCTCTTTTCATATTTTATCGTATACACGTTATAAACTAATTTTATATTTTAAACTAAAAGATTCAAAATTTTGTATTTTAAAATAAATTTAAAATATTAAAACTTTTTAGAACCAGTTAGATATAATTTTTTGCCTCTTAAAATGATAGTTGGAAGAAGAAGAAAAACATTTGTCAATAGAATATTTATAAAGAAGAAGATGATTGGAAGAATAAGAGTGATTACTTTAAAGAAAACAAATTAGTAAACAGTTACGTAACATTTAATTTGTCACGTCACAACTATTAACATCATTAAATCATATATATAGTACTAATAAAGAGATTTAACTGAAAAACTTCCTATACAATCTATAACTAATTTGAAATATTAATAGAGTTAAAAGACATATTTATAAATAGACACCAATTGTCTGTTGAATTATCAGTCACATGACTATTAATTTGTCACAGCATTATTATTAATAGTGCTAAATTATATAACAAAAACCAAACAAAAAATATTTAATATAGACTAAAATAAAATATTAATAAAATCAGTGATGATTTGCACAATTAAATCAACTCGGTTCATAATTGTATAAAAATATCATATATAATTATTCAAATTTCGAACTACTTGACAGTAATTAATTTTTATATTAGCCTTCTTAATTTTTACTTGCCCTTATTTTATTGCCAAAACAATTATTTCCCAAAAACATTTGTTTTCACAAGGTACTAGAAGCATGATATGTTAGTTAGAAGATGGAAGAGAGTCCCACGCTGTCACGGCTACGATATGAATTTTTATATATATTATAGTATGGAGTATTTTAAAATGAATTTATTAAAACGTTATAAATTAAAATGTTCAAGTTTAATTTTTTATATAAATTTTTCATATATGTAATAATTAATTTGTCTGCATTGCTAAATACTCATATTTGAATATTTTCATTTCTGAATACAACAAAATATATAATTAAAATGTTTCAGATGATTTATCAATTATTTGATAGTTTGCAATAAAATTGATTTTTTTTTTTAAAAGTTGGTTTTAAAACTGGTTTTTTTATAAAATTTGTTTTAAAACTGATTTCTTTAAAAAAAATAAAAAAATGATTTTGAGAGAAATCGATTTAAAACTGATTTTTAAAAAAACTGTTTTTTTTAAAACTGATTTTATATAAACGGTTTTAAGATCCAAACCAAACCATATATGTGGTTTGGTTTGGTTTGGTTTATAATCCATACACACCCCAAAGTAGGATGCAGCCTTGGTTGAACAATGCCACATTTTCTTCTAGTGGCCATATGATGAGTGTTGTTTGGATGCAAGAAAGGAAGGCTCAGGGAAGAAGAATCTGAGGAATTAGAAGTGGTTGAAGTGGAATGTTCAGTAGGTGCATGGTCAGAAGTTGCAGATGAGATGTTTTGAGATGTTTGAGATGGAAGGTTCAAAAGGTACATGTGAGGTGTGTTGAGATGTAGGGCGGGTTTGAATGGAATTTTCAGAGGATGCAGAGTTGGGGAAATGAATTTGCTTGAGATGGTACAGAAGGTGATATAGCTCAGGTTGATGAGCGGGGTTTAAGATGGAGATGGGACTGTAGGAATGCTGACAAAATTAGGTGAGATGGGAAAGGGTGAGGAAAGTGTAGAAGATGATGTGGAAGACGACATGTAAGAAGAATTGAGTTGAGGATGTGGGAATCTGATTTCATTAAAAAGAACATCCTTGAAAATATAAATTCTTCCATTAAGGGCTAAGCACTTGTATCCTTTGTGAGGTTAATAAGGTCTTAGATGTGGATAACAGGCACATCCAAAAGCCTTGAGAAATTTGTAATCAGGAATTTTGTTGTAAAGTATGGAGTATGTTATAGTGAGACATGCATGATCATGTATGTCGCAGTGGGACATGCACAATCCCATAACTTCAAAGGTGAGACAACCTTTTTATAATTGGAGTCCTCATTGTCTTGCCTGACTTACTGTTTAGATCTTTGTCATACTTGCAGAGAGACTAGAATGCTTTGTGGTATTAAGGAGTTTGTTGTTTTTCTGAGTTTCACTGTCAGTTCTTGTGTAGTTTATCAGATTTTCTGATGTATGTAGATAAATAGTTATTGTTTAAAAAAATGAAAATAATGGATATTGAAAGGTTTTCTTCAATACTTACATTAATATCCGGTTTAAAATTAAATGTATGTCTTGGGTTCATTTTGGTTAGTTTGTGATTATGAGGCTAGAGTGTAACTTTTGTCTTTTAATGACATCTGATTCTGTTGCTGTAAATATTTGTATTTAGAGTGTTTGCTTTTTTTTTATAGGATTTGCTTTGAACTTTACTGTTGTATCTATCTATGTCTATTTTTTGAAGAAATGGATAAGTCATGGATTACTAAGCCACAATCATCGATTGCATATCAGCAAGGGATAAAAGAATTTATTGATTTTGTATTTAAAGGTGCAAAAGAAAATGACGTAGTAATATGCCCTTGCAAACGCTGTGGTTTCAAAAAATCAAAGAGTAGGAGTGATATGTTCGACCACTTAATGTGGTCACCATTTCCGCAAGGATACACCATGTGGATTCATCATGGAGAGTCCTTTGTTGTACCTAGTACTATCTCCCCTAGTACTACTCAAAATATGGTTGAAGATACTATCATTTTCGAAGATCCTATTCATAACATGATCAATGATGCATTTGGAGTTGATATGAATCATGCTAATGAAATACCATCTGCGCTAAATTTAGAGATTAGCCAAGAAGATTATGTGACGCTAAGTGCAACTCAGGAAAGAAACGAAGCCAAGGAGTACTATGAATTGACTAGAGAAGGAGAACAACCTTTATATGAAGGGTGTAGACGATATTCAAGACTGTCGTTTTTGGTTAAGTTGTACCATATAAAGTGTTTATGTGGATTGAGTGAGAAGGCAATGACAATGATTTTAGAGTTAATTAAAGATGCATTTGAATATGCAAACATTCCAGGTTCGTTCTATGAAGCCAAGAAATCAATCACAAAACTTGGTTTGAATTATGTAAAGATACCTGCATGTCCAAACAGTTGTATGCTTTATTGGGGAGAAGATGAAGAAAGGGAGACTTGCAAAAATTGCAACACTTCAAAATGGAAAACAAATGAAGCGGTCTTTGTTAACAAGAAAAAGAAAAAAAAATCCTGCCAAGGTTCTTCGTTATTTTCCATTAAAACCTCGATTACAGAGATTATTTTTGTCATCAAAGATGGCCAAGGATATGAGATGGCACGCAACAGATGCTAACAACGATGGAATGTTGAGGCATCTTAGAGATTCAGAAGCTTGGAAGAAATTTGACTTGACACATACTTGGTTTTCATCAGATCTACGAAATGTGTGTCTTGCATTGGCTAGTGATGGTTTTAATCCTTTTGGTGTGACGAGTACAAACAATAGTATTTGGCCAGTTGTTCTCATTCCATATAACACTCCTCCATGGGTTTGCATGAAACAAACATCATTTATAATTTCAATGATAATTCCCGGAAAAGAAGCACCAGGAAATAATATTGATATCTACTTACAACCCTTAGTCAAAGAGCTGAAAGAGTTATGGACAAATGGTGTGGATACATACGATTCTTTCAAGAAAGAGATGTTCAAGTTGCATGCAAATTTGATGTGGACGATTAGTGACTTTCCAGGTATGGGTGCACTTTCTGGGTGGAACACATACACAGGGCTTGCTTGCCCATCATGTAACTTTCAAACTACACCTCTCCATCTTAAAGCTAGCTGTAAATGGTGTTTTATGGGTCATCTTCATTTCCTTGATCAGAGACACAAGTTTAGATTGAACATGATCCGCTTTAATGGTGAATAAGAAATACGGAGTCCACCGAGAACATTAT